CTGCATAACACTAATTTACTTGATGTTATGCAACACATGTCTAATGAGAGAATCTAACTAAGAAAAAAATCATGCATGGCTTGGGAATAATCTTCATGCGAGAAATATTAATATTTTTGCCCACAGAAACAAATTTAATGGTATTGACATAAACAATGCGCAGGAGAAGGAGTTTCGCATCTCCATAAAATTGTAGTCTCAAGCACATCACCTACCCATATTAATCTTCTAATCTACTAGTACTGCAACATGAAATAGAAAGTAAGATACGAACGATATGGATTGGACTGCCATGAAAGATAAAAAAATTATAGGAATTCTTGACGTGGTACCAAAATTCACGACTAGCAATAGATGTCAATTCCGTGCTGCCGTAAGGTAATGCTCGTGGTAGAAGGTGATGACGCATACGCCTGTTGTTCATGCTCTCGCTGTGCGTGTGATCTGCTCCTGTGTTCGTATATTAGAGCTTACCGTGTTGAGCATGATACTCGTCCAACATCTTGTGACCTAATTATATATCTTGCTCTAGTAGACCTAGGCGTAGCCGCTCTCTACTTTTCGTATATAAGTATATGGGACAGCCATAGCTGCCACAACTGCCAGATCCAGGTGAATGCCTCTGAAAATTAAGTAACAAAAAGATGGATCATTAAGCATACGTCAAGCCGTAAGAGTAAGAGTTGTAGTTGATTTTCATCCCCAGGTGGTCTCCTAGAAGACCCTCCTCCTGGCTCGTCTAACGACCCAATACAAAGTTCCGATCGACCCACAGGGGAAGCACACAGATCATATCGTGCTTCAGAACTACGATCATGCTGTCGTCCATCGTTAACCAAAAACAACGTGGGTTGATCATCCAACATGCTTGCGCCAACATCCAGTAGGTCTACGCCTGCTGACGAAGCAGCTTGGCCACGAACCTGCTGGGGATTATTTTCTTCTAAAAGTGCTATCCTGAATGCTTACACTCATTGAGAATGTCGATAGGGGAAGGTCGTTCCCCTTTTGTCTTCTTCCTTAGGGACGACACTCCCATATCTTCGTTCCCAATGAGTGGCATCATAAATATCCTGCTTTCCTCCTCGTAGTCGTAATAATATGGTTTGCTGCTCATTTCTTGTGGTAAAAGTTGATTCTGCAAAATTACCGTTTTTTCACCATCTACTACTTGTTCGAGTTCTTGCGCACCAGCTTGTTGTGCTTGTGCCACCTCATGATCTACCTGATCATCTTGTTCATCTAGTCCTTGTGCTTCCGCAATTTCAGTTCGTTCATGCTCGACTTCAGGCTCCATGATCATGCACCGTGATGACAGAGAATCAGACAAATTTTGCAGCAGAATGGTAGGATCTTCGATCGAGTAATAGAAGGATTCCGCGAGCAAGCGTGGATGATTCAACATCTTCAAGGTGTTGGTTGGCGTACTAATATCTGGAGAAGAGCAAACTGCATTTCTAGAAAGATGACCGTCGCTTGTCGCAAGAAAACTTGGATCATGAAGTAGATCTTCTTCATTCAGTTGCTTCTTACCAGGTAGCAAGAGTCTGATCCCAGCAGTAGTAGTCGTACAACGACGTTGCTCCTCATCCTCCTTTCCCTTGCTAAATGGTGAGGATCTCCATCTCGTAGGAGGACTGCAGGTGCCGTGGTGGACATCTTTAGCGTTACTATCCTCGCTTTCCACCTCGCCAACGGATTCGGCTTGCATATAGCACACTGAGGGAGCGCTGCTGGTCTTACTCGATTAGAGGTTGCCGGTCCCTTTATCCTGACGTTGTAACAAGGATAAGTATTGCTCCCTACTTTAATATTTCTCAACTCTTATAATGTGCGGAGAGCCTAGCTACTGAACTGAACAATGGGAAAAAAAAGATCGAGAAGATCCATTATTTATATTTTTACTCATATATTTATACCGCCCACGTGCCCCCGGCGTGTACACACGCCGGGGCAGGGCGGAAGGGTCTTACAAATGCTGCGAGTTACATAAAAGCAATACGGCCTACCGGCGTGTTACGAATTAAGTAGAGTCTGGCGGGCTATGGAATAAGCAAAGCAGCCACGTACTGCAAGTTATTACGCGCTACATAAGGAAATACCTTGGCAGCACCTACTGCCGAAAGCCTTAGCAGGAGCAGAATCACGGGAAAGTTGTACGCAAAAGCGCGGCATTTTTACGGCGCGAGATGTATACATCTAACCCGTACATCTTTCCCATGATTTCCGTACATCTCAAAAAAGTGGAATTTTGGAAACCTAATATGAATCGCCCCGGTGTAAGTACATCTCAAGAGTACATCTTTCCCGTGATTTACGTATAAGATATATATCTCGAGATATATATCTCAGACGTATACATCTCGCCCGTACATCTTTGCCATGATTTGCGTACATCTCAAGCCGTAAACTCACTCCTGTTTAGCATTCAAAATAAGTTTTGGTTTATAATATAGATAATTATAGTATATGTTCCAGGGCGCGGGGCGACGGCCCCCCCCTCCCCCCCCGAGTGAGGGAGGGGGGGGCGGTGCGGCCCTGCGTCATATATAATGATCAAACTCTAGGAGTTGAATAAAAGCTGGCCATAACTTTGCAACCTGAGAGATGAGAGACCCAGCGCATGGAATCGCTGGCGAATCGACTCCTCGTCTTGTTCTTCTTTACCGTGATTGTAGTCGTACAACAATCCCTCTGGTGCCATATAGTTGACGCCTGAACTTCTTGGCGATGCCTCGCAGGAATGCAAGGTCAGATTTTCCTGGTCTGCTACTTCTTTGGCATGTTCTCGCTCCTCTTCTGCTTGCTGAAGCGATTTTGATTCCATCCTACCTGCTGCTCTAGCATTATGAAGAGGAACTTTCTGAAACAGCGTCGTGGATGAAGAGTCATCTCCTAGTTGTATGACCTGACGAGGACCCGGAAATGGAGGTAACTCATGGTCAGGCTCGTCTGCGTTTGGGTCCTCACGAAGAAGCGGAGGCTCAGCGCGCGCCCTGCTGTGCTCTGCTTCCCCACTTTTCCGCAATAATAGAAATTCATGCTCACCATCGGCCCTACTCCCCATTTGTACATCCTTCGCATCCAAAGCTGTTTCTTGGTCTTCTTGGTCAGAAAAAACGGAAGCTGTGCTAGTTGTTATGTTGTTATTAGCGCTGGCGCTGCTCAACATCACAAGAAACGTGACTAATTTTCCATCCAAGCTGCTCGAGCTCGTCGTGATCATACCATTATATATTTCTTCTTCATGAAACACAATCAAAAGAAGTCGAGCTCGAAATACATAGAGATTACAGCTGCACACAGAAAAAAGACGGCTCGGAGTAAATCTAAGTAATTACATCTCTCGGTGGTTGAATTCGCCCAGGCCTAGTGTCACATAGGATCATCAATGTGTAGTACATCTAGTCTTAATGTTGAAAAACGCTGAACTGGCGTTATGGATTGAGCTCAGATGTTGCACACCCGAGTAGTGTTGAACACCGGAAATACACTCATTCCTCTTGTTGCCACCGTACGGAGAGCAGTCATCTTCTAGTAGTTCTACGTGGTGCTGGTTGTCTGACTCAACGCCGTGATTATCCTCCATTTGCGCTTTTTCTTCTTGTGCTACATGATTTTTTGGTAGTTCTTCTTCTTTTGGCACGAACTGAGAACTACTACTTTGTGTGTTTGCCCGACGACGTGGTACATGATTTGCCACTGTCGACACAAGATCATCATGGCTACTTTGCTTACAATTTTGTGGTACCAGACCACTCGGCACAAGATCCTGACCACTTGGTTTGTTTTGTGGCGCAAGTTGTGGGACACAACCAGAAGAAGCAGAATCCAATACATGAACATTCGAGCACGACGTGTCCATAGGCGGCGCATCTTCTAGTCGATAGGGAAGCTCGTAGAATCTCTTAGTAGAAGAACTACATCCATTGTTGTAGTTATTTCCTGGCAGCCCTCGTCCTGGAGCACCTTGACGACGGGAAGTTGAATTAGAGCAGTCAGCTTTTATCCATCCCGGCCCCCCTCATCGCGACCCCTTTTCCAGGAAATACGAGGGAAAAGGATATCGAGATGCTGAGAAAGATGGAGAAAAAGCTGACATTATTTAATTGAATGGGACGTAGTGGAAGGACTGTACTGGTTCTCCTTCTCGTTATGCTGGCGTAGTATCGTACTACTGCAGCACTTGTTCCCGTTATTATGATTTTGTTGTATCCATATCGGAGTACTACTACTACCATCAGAAGTATTACTCTGTGCGAACGAGCCTCGATGCTGATGCTGATGCTGTGGCCTTGTTCCATAATGTTGTGCTGATGTCCTTGCTGATGGGGTGTAGCTATTGATCAAGTGAGATGAAGCGAATGTATCTATGTCACAACTACCTGGAGCACGAGGACCTATTTTTGACGTTGCTGCTTGAGCTATTGCTATTCTTGAAGGTGTGGTTGTTGCAGAAAGACGAGTACTGCTCCTACCTCGCTCAGGACTCGGTTTGAAGACCGTCTTCGGCCCACGCCGTAGCTCCTCTTCACGCTTCGTTTGCCATACCCGTTCCTCTAGAGCGGAGAGGGTACGACCCATCTCCTTCAGATCCACCATGATGATGCACTACTTCTAGTTCATCTTGTAGTTCTAATTCATCTTGCAATTTTTGAGCTGGTACAACATTCTTTTTCTTATTTCGAGGAGATACTTGTTCAATCGGTGGACACGATTTGCTCCGTCAATAAGTTTCACAGGTGAAAAGTTCAAGCTGAGTTGGATACAATGAGAATCAGTCATGCGTCATGAATAACATTGTAATGATCCCAATCTCATTACTTCCACTAAGAAGGTCGTATTTTCACATCGGCTCTTCGTGCCGTTTTGCTCTCTTTTTGTGTTCTTCGTACTCTTTGTCTATGTATAAAATTTCATGCAGCCCTTCACCAGTGAACACAAAAATTCAGAGTAAAGCACACAGGGCTCTTCAAAGAAGAACCCAGGTGGCATCTTTTCAATTAGCACTCATATCCCTGATATATTTTCATCTCATGCAGCGCGTTTGTAGAATAAAGCGTAAAACTTATGAGAAGAAGGGAGAGCGTCACTCAGGGTCTGAAGGTGGGAGAGCGAGGGTGGAAAAGCATTATAACCTGAATTCATTAGGTGTAAAAGCGCTTTGAAGAATCAGTGTGCCAGAAGGTGTCTGTTAAGCAACAGGCTCACCACCAGGTACAAGCATTGTCACATTATTTCCGTTCAGCAGTATGGAGTCTAACTTCGTCTCTGTTCGTCCTTCGCCGGTGAAAGTGTACCTGATGTTGGAATGTGAGTAAAACATGATTCACTGAATGTGTAAAACATGAAATTGATAAATCTGGAATGACAAAGTCGTGTACAACATGAAGATGGTGGTCTCGGTCTGGTGAAGATGGGGCGAACTCTACGAACTAGTACATTATCCTAGCAAAGTAGTAAACCATAAAGTTGTATGGTACTCCTTCACGTCGTCCAATACGAGGTTGACGAAATCATCGAAGCCTCTGAGTGTCCCGACTAATTCCTTGTCTCCACGCATGATGACCCATATCCTCTGGCCTATACACTTGTTCACAAGTGCCATAGGTATTACCGTGCCCGCACTTTGAAGAGTTCCCGACATTCTTTTCTTCCTCGCGTTCTCGTGTTCGTGACAAGAAGTACTCTAAAAGAAGAAGTAAAGGACAACAAGGACGAGAACTCCTGTTCTTCTAAGTCCGATAAGGATAAGTACTAGAGGACAACGAGGTGGTCGTCGAGATTAAACAACGAATTCGATAAAAGACTTGAAGATGTTCCTCTTGTTGCTTCCAGCTGACTTAGCAGGTATGATATTGATCTGCTAGAATCATGTCTAAGTCTATGTCTATGAAGATGAAACAATTAACAAATGGTTAGTATGGCAGACGTAAAGCTTCGCTCGCTGAGATATCCAAAGTTCGAAATCTGAAACGAAGAAAAAATGATGATCAATCTCGAGCTGGCATACTGACATCTTTTTGATGTGTTGAGCATTGCCAGATGAAGCATGAGAGGACTGAACCCATCCCAGGTAGAACGTTGAAAGAACTGGTTGACCTGTAGCAAGAGAGACCCGGAATCCGCACGTGACCACCAGAGTTCCGAACGGAATCTGTTCCTCTTAATACTGTTCTGTAGCCTGTCTCATGAAGATCATGATGGATCAGCAGGCACACACGCAGGAGATCGTGACCTGTCGTGACGCCTTGGCCCTTCATAACTAGCAGGACCTTTGATTCTCATCGAGCCTCTTCAAGGAGAATTCGTGGATGGCGCACCAGCACCATGAAGATCAGCAAGATGAACATCCACATCGATTTACAAGTATCTTACAAACAACATCATGATCCTCTAATCAATCTTCAGCTGTAGTTTAACGAACACTCAGTCACGTGGTGATGTGAACTTGAAGAAATAACGCTATTGTGTACTCCGTGATCGCCGTAGGAACCAAGGGTAGCGGTGGAAACCACTAGTGGTGCGGTGCGACCAATTCGAAATTTCATTCTCAGCTTCGCTTGAAAGCGAGCCGGGTAGTGTCAATGTCAAAAAAAAATCGACGACGTTGCCGCTGTTGAAGACAGGATATTTTGATTTTCATTGACCTTAGGTTGAAATTCTTATTCAACTTCAAGTAGCTCTAGGCTAATTTTGGCGGAATATAAGTTGGATTAACATGATTGATTTTCATCCATGGTGATCGACAGAACAACAAGAACTTTCTTATAACACTGAGGACGATATTCATACCAGTACTAGAAGATATCTTCATATTTACCTTCACGGTAGTTTCCGAAAATAAAGGTAATATCTCGAACTACTTCTAGAAGTATTCAATAGATGAAGTAGACGTTTCATCTCTTCTACTGCTCTTCGTTCGGCCATCTTGGCAAACTGAGTTTTTCTTTCAATCTCACGAGCAGGAGTTCCCCGCTCAAATTTTTCGAACTCGACCACAGAGCATAATATACAAGAAGGGTCAATTGGTCAATTATAGAAGACGAGGCAGTCCTCCTCGGTTCAGATTCACAAATAAATCATCTTTCTCAAATGATCTTCCTAACATCTTGATCTTCCTAATAATCAACTTCACCTAGAATGTCATAGCCATGGTACTAGAAGCCCTCATCTTTTACTTTTCGCACGGATTTGCCTCACTTGCTTCGAATTTGACTCGCCAGCTCCACGTTGCTGTATGTCCTTCAGTAGACGCGTCTGTTAGAGGACTAAAGGTGAAGATGACGGTAAACCGTTTTTCTCCTGTCTATAATTGTTATCATTACCAGTGCATCTCAAATGATCCCTCTCGATCATCAGTTATCGTACGTCTACGTGGTAAGGTAACATTTTTTTTACCTTTACCTTTACGACAACATCAAGATAATATACTTATGCTAGTAGTACAGTAGAGTACATAACAGGTAAGATGTTCCATTTTGCCACTTTGCAGTATTCATCCCAGTCTTTACCGTATTTCTCTGCGCATCGTTCTTGATCTCTGCCACAACGATGGTTAGGGCTAGTTTTTCACTATGCCTGGTTGAGTGGCTTACCCTGCTCCTCCCTAGTTTCCCCCTTAAAATCAAAGGGAGGGCCACGCAGCATAGTCCACATGGGGTAGTGAGAAACTAGCCTTAAGATGGATATCCATGACCCAGAAGTAGGCTACGTATCCAAAGGGAGCCACCGGCCATGCATGGGTCGCAGAATAACACAGAGTCTTAGAAGAAGCGGAGGAGAAGAAGATGAGGGGAAGAAGAGGACGAGGAGGTGGTATTAGAAGCTTGTGGGGCGGAGCGGGACAATAGAACAAATTCTGTATCTTTTTCTTCGAGACGTTTAGTTTACTTCTGTATCCTCTGGGTGGATTTTTAGCAACTTAGATTTCCATCATAATGATCATCCATCCCACGCACATGGTCAGGTCGCCGATGTAGTTGAAGTGTTTTGCGTATCCCCATGTTCCGGAAAAGAGGAGACGTTAGAGGAGGCGCTCGCCCTTTCTCAAATCGTTTCGTCGCGCTGCTGAAAAATAGTTAGTTTTCATTTCCAATCTGGTATTTCTTGCTCTTCAAAACTAGTTGTAAGTACGTTTGTAGGAGTTACGGGGGGGGGCGAAAGGAAACTCTCAGAAAAAATTGGTAGCTCACCACCTCGTTCAGACTCCAGATCCACAAACACTAGTAACTGGTTATCATCTCATGTTTTAATGCGGAACAACTACAAGATGACAAACATCAAGATGGATTTCCATTTTCGTCTCACGCGGCCTTAAAGATAGCTGCCCTCTTTCGTCCGCAGATATTTCAAATCACCTGGTTTGTTGTACCCAAAGATGCAGTAGTCCCTCAGTCCGGCAGCAATATACTCAGCTTCCCCAGCAAGAGTACTTTTTCCGCCGTCTCTGCATGAAGGAGGATAAATCATTTAAAATGAAGCTAAAAAGAGTGTGAAAAGCCATAGAGAGAATATTGTTGTACTACAAGTCTAGATTGAAGGTGCTAAAAACTAGAAACGCGGCTCCTTCATCACACCTCTGAGAGGGCTCAGATCAGCGGATCGAAAACCAACCTTTTTATGAAGATATGGTAAATAAGGAGTAGAAGACTACTCGCACATGCAGCAAGGGCAACAAGATGGTCTTTGCAACAAGGTGATCTAGGATAAGCATAGCATAGGACTATAGGCATAGGATGCATGTCATGTGTCATGCTGCCTCTGGTACTGACCTGTCTGTATCTGTCAAGGTAAAGGTTGAGGCCATTCAATAAAAAAATTCAATTGTTCGTACTGTAGAGTGTTTACTTCTTACTTCCAAAGTAACGCTATCTTCCAGATCATAAATTCGGGACAGCTTCGTAGTACTCTGCTTTGAGGTCGGCGACTTTCGTTCGGAAGCGGTGCTTCTCGATATTGCACCAGCGGAACATAAACATACCAAACAGGTACATCAAAATGCCAATGGTAGTGAGGTTATGAATGGGGAACAAGGTGGACAATGCCAATGCTGCAATTGCAAAAGGTGTGAAAAGTAGAGAGCACCAGCACGTAATAGGTCTAGGTGAGAATCATAGACATGATAAGTCTTGATGCATGTTGTCGACATCTTCAAAATAGCAAGAAACTTCAATTTCCAGCGCTAAGTAGCCTACTAGGCATTAATTAAAACTTTGTCCAACATAAAAGAACAAGAGCAAGTACTCGTTTTCTGCGTAGTACTACCATAAAATAACCTCTAGTTCGTTACCGAGGAAAGGTAGTTCATCTCCAACATTAAAGAACAAGTAGTTTTCTGACGACCATAAAATAACTTCTAGTTCATTCTCTGAGGACCATAAAAGAAGTAGTTCTCAGTGATTTCGTTGCCTTTGCCTTGGCCGCTGAGATGTCCTAGGAAGGACACTGGGTAGAACATGGCCAGAAATCCAAACATGCCGTAGGTCAGCATGAACCCGAACAGGTATTAGCGCTACCGAGTTCGCATGGTCCTTGATGTGAGCATCTGCATCCTTGGCTTGTTCTTACTTTTTCAAACACTGGAGATCTAGAGCGTCAAACGAGGGCTACTTTTTCAAGAAGAGACGATGAACCAAGAATGATGATACTAAGGACATGCTTCAGTCTTAAAGGTCGTGGCGAATGTCAGTCGTCGTCAAATAAGCCGGCTCGCACCAGTTGTAATCGAAGATGTAGTACGCATGAGTCAGTGATGAAAGTGGATCATAGTGGGAGACGTGGGGGGACGACATGAATGAGATGGTCTAGAAAAAGTAGCACTAGAACAAATCAATACAACTAATACAACTATAACTCCTACAAGTACGCAGCACAAGTGCCAGAGTAGTGAACCATTTATTGTTGTAGTTCCCACGACACATCCATAAAAGCGCAATAAACCAACTTGCTGGACCTATGCGATTCCAATCTCCAGTTGCATCGCACGTCGCGGTAACCTCGTAGGTATCTCTATCCAGCGTGCAGCCATAGTATTGGGCGGCAAGATAAGACCAATTCAGGAGGATCCACAACGTCAACGTACGACCATCCCACCAACGAGATATTAGAAATTTCATCTAGAGCAAAGAAGAGAGTTTTGTTCAAAAATTAAAATTAATTTTTCAATTCCGACATGATATTGATAGAATACAAATTTTATAACTCTCAACACATCAGCGACAGCCTTTGAAATAGGAAACTTCTAACTTTCATGTACTTCAACTCACATTCACACCAGAATCAACAGACCTAGATTCACGTTTAAGATACAGAATTCCAGTTTAAATTAGAGAATCAACCTGAAGGACTTAATTCAAAATCCTCTCCGTAATTTCAAATCAAATCCGTCCTCTGCATAGGGCAAAATTTTTTTCCACAAACTTCCATGGCAGATTCTGGGATTACGCGCGACACCCATAAAGTACTTAGAGACATTCGTTTTGCACTATTGCGTACGAATTCTTCAACCTCCCTACATCCTGCCGATCCCTGATCTACTCTTTCCCGCTGCTCGAACAGCAGGAAAGTGAGGAAAGTCAGGGAAGACTAACCTCTTGTCTTTGTTGCGGATGCTTGTAAAATGAGATAGCAGAAGAAACCAGAAATCATGAGGGTCGCATCTGATGGAAGTGCAAGAATGTGGCTCAAATTCAAGAAGATCAATGAGTATTTTCGTTAAAAGTGTCGTGATGTGTATGTGAAAATACTAGAACACAAAGCCCATAAAGTAGTCGTTCCAAAAGTTCCGGAAGTCGAAAACACCATAGTCTTCTTCAAAACTAGGCTCATCCACATGCCGACGCCACAAAACACCCCAGCTAACATACAACCACAGGGGAAAATTAGAGAGGGTGAGAGATGAGGAGGAGAAGACTGTAGTTTTCTTAGGCTCGTTGACTTCTTCGTGTTAGACCAATGCAACAGCTCATACGGGGGAGGTGACGGCTTCTTGAAGATAACAAGGACTCCTTCTTGCGGCTACAGTTTTTTTAGGCATTTCAGACAAGTCAAAAAGAGCCACCTCCTCGTAGCAGCACAATTCGGCTGACACAGCAGTGCAGAACCACAAGAACTACAGCCTCAATTTCTATTGTAGACCTACGTACAAGACCCAATGACAGTATGAACCTTGCAACATAACAAAAAAATGACTTGTGAGCACGGCACATGTCATCAGAGATCCCATGTGTTTCCAGACAAAGTCTGCCTCAATCTTCAGTCCCAACAGAGGCACCTCGTAGTAACACGCAGAAAAGTAAGAGATTAGAGGGAGACAAAACAGCATTTTCCCAAGCAAAGTTGTATGGTGTTGACCGATTTCGGGACGGTTGGAGTTCGTATATTATGATGGAGCAGGAGTCCTCTACCTAGATAGATTTTTCATAGGATCAAATGCGTTAGAAAAAACGCAGTGAGCCCATTCATCGGGTATTTGAGGCGGCGCCCGTTTTTCAGCGTGACCCCTTCAATATACCCTTGACCAAAAGGGAAAAAACATGGCAGAAAAGCTTCCATCACAAACTGCAGGAGGCACCAAACGGCAATCATCTTCCAGCAATACCTGGTGGTTGTATGTTGAGGTCAGCAGAAGTAAACAAGGTTGACTGTACGACTAGGCAGTAGAGGTCGATTACATCTTGCTCATAGTAGTACAAAAGCCATGTGAGGAATGGAGGACACCAGCTACAATCGTCTTCATCCGACACGACAACCTGATGGTTGTCGCATTGGAGGACACTGTATGCTTCTTCTTTGACAGTGATGGTGGTGAAGAAGAAGGTGCAGACGATGGTCTTTGTCTATGATTGGTCCACGTCCAGATTTCGACTTCGTTCTGAATAAGTCTCCAATCCTCGAAAAAGTGGTTTTTTATCGCCCAAAATCTAAATTCAAATCTTTATGATCCACTTTCACTTGATTCTAAATCTAACTTTCTTCAAGTTTGAGTCTAAGAATATGGGCACTCGCACATTGGCACCGCACAATCAATGAAACAATAGGTCAAGTCATGATTGGTGAGCAGGATGAAGATATATAATGTGGATCATAGGGTCTGTAAGACTTAGGACGAAAGCATGAAGACTTCTGGTCACGGTCGTCATACTTTTCGAATAGAGGCTACAAGTAGAAAAAGTGCCATCTATTCTTCAGCTCAGCATTGGCATAAAAAGTACGTCTATGAGTGTAATGTAACTAGCTGCTAAGACACGATCAATATACTGATTTTCGACTTCTAATCCACTCGAGATTCCTCAAACAAGGGACAATACTAGCATACAGCCTTTATGACAACAAAGTTAAGGGGCGCTACCACGTGGGCTGAATGCTGATCCCATCGGGCAACTCGAAGAGCAGCGCATACCAGAACTCTGAATCCGGCACCATCAAATTCCCTTTGTTCAACACCACGATGCCGTAGAAGTAGTAGATTTGTAACCACGATTAGAACAGTAGCAGCATGCAGTACTAGTACGAGTTGTACTTATGGTAAGTAGTAAGAAGATCCACCAAGACCAAGAGTGAGTATGACTAAATGAGATGAGCCTAGTACAACTTCTTGCACTCTATTTCAGTGGAGATCACACCAATGACAAGAACAAGGTGGCGCAAACGATGTCACTTCGTATCTTTAAGGAGTCTACATTGTCATCCATGCAAGATACAAGAGGAAGCATTCCTGTTAAGAATATGCACACTTCTTCATATCAAGCAGCATTCTTGTGATTGTGAATAGTCTTTGTCCTCCATAAGGAATGTACATAGTCCAGAAGAAGCAACCCCAATTGCCCATGAATTCTCCCACGGGTCGTGTGCATCTCCGATAGTATTTGGAGCTTTTCTCCAGTTCATCCGCTGCTGGTGCAGGCCACCAGTAAGAGAGATCAACTCCACTAGCTTCAGCCGCTTTGAGATAGGAAATTAGAGTAGTAGCTAGTAGGACGAGATCACTAGCTAAAAGAGGGTCTCCACCCCGTCTTCATAAGATTCGAGTGAGATGAGAATGTCCCAGCGTAGCTGGTAGGTAAACTCCGAACAACATAATGCAGCTGTGATCGCAACAAGTACCTGTACGTGATATACGTCCTCCTTGATACTTTTGTGACCATTCCCATGCCCATCACAACAACATTCATCATGATCAGTTGCTTCAGCTTATCCAAGCACCATTATATAGTTACACAGACTCGTCTTTAATCATAAAGCTGCTGAGTTTCCACCTATGGACTGTTTTTTCTTAGTCGGAGTCGATGACGATGTGCGTCGTGATGGAGAGTGGGTGGCACCAGATGGCCGTTTCCTAGCACCACCTGGCGTTGACGAGCGCGCCATTTTTTTGTGTGATGAGTGTGTGAGTGTGCGACAGTAGCTCTAGGAGAAGACAACAACGTTGTCCCTTTCTCGTGATGATCAGTGGTCCTCTTAGTATCAGTCGTAGTGGTCCACTGGAATAGAAGTAGATCTTCTAGATCGAGAGTACTTAAAAATATTACCATGAACTGATTTTGACTCTCACTTTTGTACTTCCCTCAGAGCCGAACTCACAGAAGTATTTTCTTTCCAAGTTGTGCTGGACTAGAATATATTTCTAAGTAGCTACTTCTTCTTCTTGTAAGGTTTAGATTTTCTCTCGCCCTCATATTTCCTTCGACACTCACACTTCATCAACATTGTACGGACATGAACTTTGGTCTGCGTCAAGCCTCGTCCTCACCAAACAACTAGCATATGTGGCGCTACAGTCAATTCATAAGTGGTTGTGGTTCCTACACCTGAGCTCTTGAGGATAAGTACTTCATCTTCAAGATGAAGTTCTTGAAGTTTCTGAAAGGGAAATTGAAATTTCTCTTGATGCTGGTCGTACTTTTACAAATATTGATATCTTGGTGTGGTTTTTGGGAAAGGGGTGGGTTTTTGGGGAGGAGGAGGGGGATGCGGGACACACGAAAAAGGTTTTTACGATGACATCAGACACTCCAACCTAATGTTAGAGGCCATGTCAATCGTGCGACGTTGTGCCGTCAAGAATGTCTATGTCCATACATCAATCTTTTTTGTTCATCTTGAGGGAAGAAGAACTACAATGATGTGAAGACATGATTATCGCGAATAGGGATACAACCTGGGTGCGTGGTGGAAGTCAAAAAAGTAGATCTTGTTCATAAGGATTCATTTGCGGTTAGAATTGAAGACACCTTCTTAGCCAGCCCGTTATTTGATATTGAAATTGTGATAGTAAGGTGAAAGTGCGACTCCTTGCGTATCGAAGCGGCACCTCTTACTTTTATACCTCAGAACATGATCATGAACAACTTACTAGAACTACAACCGACCACCGGGAAATCGTTTTTCTAATGAAGAAGATATGCTGAAATTTAGCATAAGTAAACAACCACGACCTCCTGGTTCTTGTTCTACAGCAGCATAGGTAGGCCAAAAATATGATCATGTTCACGTTGATGCGAGAGCGAGCGTGATGAATGTTGATCATAGATCAAACAGGTGGTCTACATATGATTTGGATTAGCATCTAAGTTACTATATCAATCCACGTCCTCGTCCACGATGAAAAGTAAATTGGTTTTTGCTTGTTCTTTTGCTTGATTTGCGCTGATCATTCTTGCACTGCGAAATAATGACTGTTCTACCTCTTGCTCTTTTTAGCACATCCTCCATGTGCCAGTACCTCTTACTATCTCCAGAACATCACTCATGAAAATGATGATCTTTATACTATGTATAGTGTAGTTATTCTACAATTCGTCTCACCAAGAGTGTTGTATATGAGAATCCTTACAGTGATCCTCCTTATTCTGCAACTCCGCCTACAGTTCTTCCTTAGAAGACCTCTCCAAAGCCTTCACTTTCGCCTCTAGATCGCTGATCGTCGCCTTCAGTTCCTTCGCCTTCCTGTAGTTCTCTTTCGTAAGTTAGAGGAGGTTGATTGTCGTGAAGGTGAATGTGATGGTTAGGTTAGGTTAGCTTAGGGATCCTTCACATTGAGGCACCCGGGCCCCTAGCTCAACTCCGAGGATGATGGAATTGGAAGTGGAACTATTCTACAAAAGAATAATTGAAGCAAGCGACAACTAGGACTACATGAGAGCATAGATAGAGATACCACAAGCACAACATCTTACATAGTCGTGAAGGTGAACCAACAAAACTACGGAGGTACATAGACTGTTTGATAACACATGGACAAGACTACAAAAAGTAGTCAAGTAATTTGAGAGCCTTAATCGAGGGCCTTGACCTTATCCGCCTTCGCTTTCTCCAAGAGTTTTTTGACGGCAGCCAGGTCTTCATCTGTGGACGCTTTGGCAGTGGCTGTCGCGTCTGTTTTTGTCGTCTTTTGTTCCTTCTTGTCATCCTTCTTGGAAGCAGAAGTCTTGGTGGTCTCTTTCTTGGAGGAGGTTGTATCCTTCTTGTCCTCTTTCTTCTCATCCTTCTGGTCTTTCTTCTCATCCTTCTTATCCTCTTTCTTGTCCTCTTTCTTATCCTCTTTCTTATCCTCTTTCTTATCCTCTTTCTTATCCTCTTTCTTCTGACCCTTCTTGTCTTCACCTGCTCCAGCTGCTGCTTTCTTTTCGGCTTTCTTCCAGGCCTTTTTCGCGAGTTTTTCTGCAGACTTAACTCGTCTTTCTTGCGCGTTGATGTCTTTGAGGAGATCGACACCTTGGCCGAATTCCAGCATGCGATCGAGCTCACGTTTCTCCGCCTTCAATTCCTCTAATTTGTCCATCTCGCCTTGTAACTGTTGTGGGAGTTGTGAGGATACGTAGATGTGGTTACATGGAGATGAAAAAGTAGTAGTTATAGAGGACCTGTTCAATAGTACTTATATATTAGAATCGAGCTACAAGTAAGTTGCAATTGACACTGGTATGAACTACTCCATATTAATAGCCACGTCAACATGAACATGATCATGTTGACATACCCACAGCCATAGTACATGAACTGTAGGACTTCTACAAGATTCTAGAAAAGTACCGTTGTTTCGACTTTGTCTGCTCCTTTTTCTGCGCCAACTGCCGACATATTGATCTTCGTGTTACGCCATGGTTCTTCCTCCTTCTTCTTGGCCGCTTGGGCTTCAGCACGCCTTCTTAGAAGAGGTTTACAGTTCCAATAGAAGCTGTTACAACTACAACTAAGTTTAGCTACTACAAGTACGTTCAGCTACTACAAATATGTTCAGCTACGAAGTTTGATGTCCATCGAGATTGAGATTCTACTCACTACAGGTACAAGAAAAGTGCCTTATGCTAGTTGAAACTTCCTTGATGTAAGAGCGTACTAGGATCATTGACTTCATCGATAGGTTTCATTGAGGATTCAAGAAGATGAAAACGTCGAAATCTTGTCTATAATGATGATAGAAGTGATGATTATGGGCAGGGTCCTAGCTAGGTTATGTTTCAAACTTCAAAAGTCTCCAATTCTCGAAAAAGTGGTTTTTTATCGCCCAGAAATGAAATTCAAATTCTGAGAGGTCACATTCAACTTTCATCGTTCAACTTTCATCGTTTCCATTTATCTGCGAGTAAGTACGGGGAATATGCTTCTACGTACTGCCAGCATACAGAATAAGAGTGCTGGAAGGCTTCAATACTAAGACAGACGACAATGACGATCTTCATAATGATCATGATGAGGGTGATGACAACGATAAGACTACCAACGCTAGACACGATAAGGCTACAGAATACAGAGACAAAAGGTGGTAACGGCTTCACTATTATGATAGTACTATGCCAAACTCAATGTCCTGCCGCGACCAAGACCATGATATAGATCATGAAGGGAATCCTAAGGTTACTACGAGGGAATATACATCTACGTATTCAACTGAAAACAGTAGTAGGAAGCGTAACTTTCTCCTTGCTTCTTCTTTGACTTTGTCCGCCTGAGCCTTTTCAGCACGCTCCTTTTCCAATCGTTTGACCGCTTCTTGCCTCTCAGCCTCATTGAGTTCCTCCTTCTCCTTCTCTTTCTCCCGGTTCTGTTCAGTCTTGGCCTTCTTCTTGGCGGAATCGATGGGAGCTTAGAGGGGAAAAGTAGTACTAAAGTAAAACATATTCAAGATCCTACAAGTAGCCATAAATGATGACTCCAGTACTTGTACAACTTCTTGGACGATGTGAACTACAACTTCTACTAGTATACATAGTGATGTATAGTAACACTACACTCCCACATTTCTGAATTGGAGAATATGAATAAGAATAACATGCGAAGATACTAGGAATACGAATAGCTTCTCTGCTTCATAATTCTGAATATTGTGCTGCTTTTCTAGGTTGTCCTTGCTCTGCCACACTTTTTTCGTCTTCTCCCACGCGTCAGTGCCCTTATTCACAAGCTTCGCTATCTTGTTGGCTTTCTCCTTGTCCTTTTGCTTAGAGGACTGACAATGATCGAAAAATTAAGTGCACTTTTTACATACACAGGACACTCAGATAGAGCAGAGTAGCTGTAAACAAGAAGGAGCAGGGGTGAGAAACGTGAGATCGATATAGGTACTAGTATTCGGTTTTTCCTCGTTTACAACAACGAACGAAAAACTACACTTCGGACTTAAGTACACATGCCACTAACGACTATCCATTGCTATTTTTGCATTCAACCAGCCAGTCGTTGCTTTCAAATCAGTAACTTCTCTAGAACTACTAGTTGTAGATTGGTTTACTCGTGTTGAATCATAATCACTTCAGCTCGGATCAAAGTGGTACGTTCACCTGGTGCCAACTCAGGATGCCACAGTTGGATGAATAAGACCGGGTCAGTTCTTTCCAGTCGAATGGGTCTGCAGTAGTTGAGAAAAGTCGGAGCATTTCCTTTCACTTCCACTTTTGCGGCATCCCTTCCTGCGTCAGCATCGAACTCAATCTGTTTTTGGTCGTGGTTAAAAACGTGCAAGTACTTAGCTTCTTAGTCTTGATTCATAGTGAAGATGGAGTTAATATTGGTCATCATGTTATAGCGAAATACGCATACTATTCGAGGACGATTGACGAAACGTTATGACGAATCTAGTGGTGGTAACGTCACATTGAAAGAAGAGACACCCATACCGTACCACGACAGTTCAAGAATGATGAATCTCAAAAATCTACGTATCTATAAGAAAGTACTGTAAAATCCTTCTGCGAGAAAAGCAGTCCGATAGCTGCATTACTGTCGCAGCCTTCCAACTTGTGGTTTGACGCCTTCTTGCCTCCTAGAATCTTCGCACCACCAAAGACGTTGGAGGTAACATCCATGCCCCACTTGGCCTTCTCCACCATCTCACAAAACTCTGGCCAAGTCTTGGAATCACACTCTTCACCCGACTTCGGGGAGACCTGAAATAAATGCAAATGGATGGATTGAACAAGATGAAGGATGAGCGGGTGATAATTGAACTCACTCAGTAGATGTTTGAACAAGTCATTCCCAATCTTAATAGTGCTGGAGTTGTTGAAATTGAAGTTGTTGTAGTGAGTAAATGATTGGTGACGAGTCGTCCTCGTCAC